TGCACGATGGTATTGTTCAATTATACACTAACTTGCTTTTCAGGATTTAAGGGGGATAGCAGGACAGAAGTCTAGAGTTCTTACATAATATCTATTTTCTTGATACTTACTTTTGTTGTCTTATTCTACTTTGTTCTCTATTATGAGTTTTCTGTTCCTCTGTCCAGTTGCGCCTAGCATCTTTTTTCCTTTTCTTTTCCTTATCATAGTAGTGTTGTAATCTTTCTGGATCCTTCTTTATTTTCTGTCTATACCTATTTTTAGGATAAAATTGTATTTTTAACTTACTGAAACAGTATACAGTCAATACTCTTAGTAAACGAAACTTTTTATCAATTGATTTAGTGATGGTTGATTAATATCCAGTGGTACTAATAACATGCATTTTCAGGGCAACAATGAGTCCCATGCAAATTGTTATTGTTATACACCCACCCAATAAAACTTTCTAAATTCTTTATAACATTTTGATACAATTTGTTTCTAAATTGTCTAAGTAAACATAGTAAAGTTCAATTGTATTTTATGAACGTGTTTCTTTTCATTATCAGTGTTCAAAATTTCGAAGGTCTTATGTTTGGAATTAAAATGAAGAATGATTCCACGAGACACAAATGGTGCCATGACCCTATCCATCCCCTAGTTCTTTTTCCTATCAAAGGCCATAAATTTGGAACAACACATTAGAAATCTTACAAAAAATGTTAAGGAATTTTGCTGATCAATTCAAACAGTTTCTATGCTAAATTTAACCCAAACATGCCCAAGGAACCTAGATTCTGGTATGAAGACATGTCTATTATTGAATACTGTATGTTGCCCTGTACAAAATGTAGATGTTTTTTAGTTGTTTTTGTGGTTAGGTTGCTGTTTCATTGACATATATCCCAAAACTCCTTTTATTTTTATTTGACTTCTCTGAAAGTATTTAACTGTGAATTCAATGGTAATGGTAAAACGTAAAATAACAAAAACACTGAAGTCCTTTATCAAATGGCAAAATCAAAAGGTCACATCAAACAAAAACAACTGTCATATTCCTCTGACTTGGTACAGGAAATTATACAAAATTTCATTAAAATATCTTACATCTTTGATCTTTCTGCTTGGGTAGTCAGAAACTTTGGACTCTTCTGTTTCTGGATGGGGATACTCCTGTCAGAAAGAGACTGAAAAAAAATGTTGTCGTCAAGTATCACCTATAGATATGATAGATGTGTAATTTGTAAATTGTCTGTGTGAAATTTAAAGATTTGTATATGTTGTACATGTTGTAGAAGATTTTGTTTCATAATATTTTATTCTCATATCTAAAGTACACATAGTTCTTTTAAACCTAAGAACATGATCATCAGTTAAGTTGGAGTCACTGTTAATTTCAAATGTCAGTCAAATAATACTCCTGTACACCATGTGCATTTACAATGTTGTCATTAAACAAGAGTGCACATGCTGAAATGTCTCGCCTTCTTTACTAACCATTGATTTTATGTTGATAGTCCTAAATATAAAGCTTTACTGCAAGTAACACATAAACTTAACATGATCCAAGAAAATGAGGTCAAGGTCAGATAAACCAAACAAGAAATACATGTACACCTTACAATCATTCAATAAACCAAACATAGTTGACCTATTGCTTATAGTTTCTAAGAAACAGTCTTAACCAAGAAAACTTAACATTGACCAATGAACCATGAAAATGAGGTCAAGGTCAGATGAACCATGCCAGACAGACATGTACACCTTACAATCAATTTATGCATTAAATATAGTTGACCTATTGCTTATAGTATCTAAGAAACAAACTTAACCATGAAAACTTAACATTGACCAATGAACCATGAAAATGAGGTCAAGGTCAGATGATACCTGCCAGACAGACATATACATCTTACAATTCTTCCATACAACAACTATAGTTGACCTTATTGCTTATAGTTGAAGAAAACAGACCAAAACACAAAAAACTTAACACTGAGAAATGAACTGTGAAAATGAGGTCAAGGTCAAATAAAACCTGTGAGACTGACATGTACATCATAAAATATTTCCATACACCAAATATAGTTGACCTATTGCATATAGTATTAGACGCTGCCGCTGTAGCCGGATCACTATCCCTATGTCAATTGTATGTCAAGCTTTCTGCGACAAAAGTCGCAGGCTCGACATAAATGATCATGTGTATTTCTGCTTGCATTCTGAAATTCATTATCACTTGTGTAAGATAATGAAGGTCTTGTGTATTAAATAAACTATGACCAAATATATAGTATACATGTAGATAATATAATGTTCATGTGCTGAGTAACAATTTTAGGAACACTTAACATGCATATGCTTAAAGGAATGCCAGTGTATACGTATGTTAGTCTGATTTCTTCGCATTGAACAGACAAATGCACTGTACTCAAAACTGCTGTGTCAATTTGTAATTAACATGATTAATGTCAAAAAGGTCTTGGTTAGATGTTCAACATATTTAGTTTCCTTAAACTGTTAAATTGTGTAGAGTGATAAAATGAACCAAACTGGCATCAAAATTCTAATGTTTATTTATATCTGGGTGTTGAAGGTTCTAATCATTTCAGAAGATCACATGCAGTTATGCTTTTGTTTCATCTTGTTCATCAGTTTCATATATTTATAACTGTTTACTGCAAATTCAGAAAATAATGTGTGCATTAATTATTGTGAATCAATGAATACTGGTAAAAATGCAAGATCTATTAATGTAATTGCAATCAAGGAAAATCACTACTGAAATTGTGAATGGAAATTTTTATTTTTGCGAACCTAATTACACATGTTACATGTACATCATGTACATGCTAATACTGTCTTTTTTTTGCATAAATATAAATATTGTGATAATTTATAATTTACCTGATTAAGAATTTACAGTAGTTAAGATAGTTACCTCTGTCATGTCTGTGTCATAAATACACGATACAGTTAGGTGGTAAATAACATGAAACTATTTCGTTGTATTTTTATATTTAACATGTTTAAGTAAACATTATAACATCATGAACATGCAGTAAGTGTCAGTGTATGCAGGTTACATATTACTTCCATCAGTCCATAAAGATTCATTTTCATTACAAAAGATAACTGAAACATTTGTTGACTGACGCCCAAAACTTACCAAGCTTTCAGCCATCTTGGTAAAAAAGGCCGAGATTAAGCCGAAGGGAACTCACTACCACGACCACTCGCGTCATATATTTTTAACAAATTTAAGTCTTGGATTGGATTTATTCGCATGGAAATGACCATGCTTACAGACATAACAAAATTGACATACAACTACTAATCAATTGCAAACTCACATTCTTCATTGACAATCAGGAAAAAGTTAAATAGTGAATAAGTTTCCTTTTCTGTAAGGAGTTCCAAGGGATATTGAATGTATTATCAAGATAAATCACAGCATTTGAACAATTTATTTAAAGTTTACAGAAGCGTAATAAATTGAAAAATTTTTGACAGACGCATATAATTACTTCCGTTTTATAGTTTTTTAAGGATTTACATGTATGTTCTACTTTCATGACTTTCTGTTTAGATAATTTTTAAAACAAACTTTCTTTTGGATAACATACATACATGTATGCAACCTTCTACTTTCTAACAATGATCATAAAAACTTCCCATCCAGAAGAACTTCAAGGTACAACAATTAAGATTGAATTATTTTTGACATGGCAATTTCACCACCTATCTAAATTTCTAATTAGGAATTAGGAATAGTAAAAAACTTTGACATTTTTTTAACAAATCTGAATTAAAACCATGTATTATCTTTTCTCACCAAAAAATTAATTATTTCATTACAACATGTACAACATGTACAATAAGGAAACATATTGTTATTCAAAAGTGATGGACATAGTGCTTTCCATTTATCTGAAAATGACCCATACATGTCTATATGTACACTAATGTACAAGTAGCACAAAATAATTTTGTAAATATTTTATAGGAAAATATGTACAGAACCTACAGTAACAAATACTAATTTCTGTACAGATACATGCAAGGTACGACAAGAAACTTTCAACCTTTAGGTTGCATATGTGTATATTTCTGATGTAAAATTGAGAATGGAAACAGGGAATGTACATGTATTATATAAATAAAGGCAACAGTAGTATACCGCTGTTCGAAATTCATAAATCGATTGAGAAAAAAACAACAAATCCAGGTTACAAACTAAAACTGAGGGGAACACATCAAATATAAGAGGAGAACTACGACACAACAGAAACACAACCTTAAAATGTAACACACACAGAAACGAACTATAATATAACAATGGCCATCTTCCTGACTTGGTACAGGACATTTTAAGAAAAAAATGGTGGGTTGAACCTGGTTTTGCGGCTAGCCAAAACATAACATATCTATATCAACATTTTGTAATAAAAAATAAAAGCAATTTATAATATATGTATTCTTACAGAAAATTTTACAAGCAATTTTGATATTTCATTCTTTTTCTTAATAAATCAGCATGTCTTACTTACTTCATCATTTATCCCATGACAAACAATTTTGGATTATAGGTGTTAGTTCATTAAAGTAAACTGGAATTAATTCCAAAGGAGACAACTCTTAATGCAAAAATAAAGAATTAGGGATGGAATGACATTGATAAAATTGAGTCAATTTTCATGATTTCTGTCATTTTGTATGAAGCATTTACCATATTTACTGCAATTGCAATAATCTGATAATTAAGCTCAAATTTTTGTCCATTCTTAAAAAATCACAATAATAAATGCAGGCAAATATTTCTGAATTTACATTCATGTACAAATGTAAAGAAGATGTGAAAAAGAGAACAAAAAGACTAATGTATATATATGTATAAAAAGTCTTATTCAAATAAATTTTTTGGGGGGTTCCATCAACTCATCATGTTCAATGCAAAGCAAACAAACAAACTATTTTCTAAAAAATGACTTACTGATAAAATCAGAAAAAAAACTTACCGAGTCTTGTTCTTCTTTTATAACAAAATCATTCTGACTTTCCTCCGACTCTTGGTCGTCAGCATCACCTACTTCATCCTCATTTTCACCTAAGGCATCATCATTATCACCAGAATCCTCCTCAATATCACCACCTCCTTCACCCATTCCAACTACTTTTGAAACTAACTGTTCGGCATATTGTTTCACAGATTCAGTAGTACTTTTTAACTTTTTGTTTTTCCCTTTCAAAGTTTTCTTATTTGGTCTTTTTTGTTTAAGTTTATTAGATTGAGTCAAGCTGGATTCTGCTTCAATAGAATCTAACTCATTATCAGAATCATCATCACTATTTGGTTCCTGTTTGATAATTAACTCCTGTAATGAAGGACCTTCTGTTGATTCAGGTAATTTGGAAGTATTTGATACGTTAGTGTTTTGATTATCATTAGAATGTATAGAAGGAACAGATTTAACAAACATTTGTCCATCACGATTTGTAGATAAGTAAACTGGGTGTGGTTCACTGTCTGAGTCCTGACTGTTAACTGTATCCTCCTCAAACAACTCATTGGTGTGGTTTTTTGATATTTCATTACTGTTAGGCTTCTGAAATTCTTTATGATTTAGAAGAGTTTTGAATTCTAACTTTTTGCAGAGATTTACAAAATCCTTAATGTCTGAATCGCCAGTAAGATATACTTCTCCAGTATATAAATAGGATACAAATATCTCTACAACATTCTTATTAAATTCTGTTAAATCAAATGTATTTATATCACCACAAAGAAAACCTTTTGACTTTAAGTGGCAACTCTCGGCAGCAGCTAACACGACACGGTGAACAGGGACTAGACCAGAATAAGTCTCTATGTAAAAATCACTATATTTTCTTTCTTTTCTTAAAACATTCAAAGTTTTCAACAGTTTTTCCCCATACCTGTCTTCTTTAAGAAAAACTTTTGCCATCATTCACCTGCAAAAATATAAAAATACTGGTCAGTCAGGAGTTTGCTTGGATTTATAGTATTTTGGGGTAGTAATAAGCTTTCTTGCATTTTATTTCAGATTTGCACTCTAGTCTAGATCTTTTAACATGGTGAAAGAGAAATATTGATACACCTTTTTTGTATTTTATCACAAACTTCAGATTTTTTATATACAAATATTTTCATGATTTTTTGCATGACAGAACTCGGTATTGAGAAAGACCACAAAACATGAAAGAACCTAAAAAGACCAGAACAGGGATTTTCAAAGCTAGAAAAATGACTTTCTTGGCCTTTAATATGCAGTTTTTGCAATATTTCTAAATTTAGCATGGTCATGATGGTGCAATGCAATAAAGATCTTGATTTATTGTACATGTTGTATGAACACCTGTCTATTGTACATGTTGTATGAACAACTGTCTATTGTCATTTTTGTTGAAGACTGTAAGTTGACCTCTCATTGGAACCAACAACCAAGATATGTGTTTTATGTCGAATGATTGCTGTCCCAATGACATTCGTCTCACATATAAAACTAGATGTGTCGGAACGACACGATTTGGCCCCGCTCACAAAAAAAGTTTGAAGCCATTCTTAGGAGTTGAAATTCTCAAATTCCAAAGCCCATTATTTTTCGTAAAAATCAGTGGAGCCGAACCAAACGTAAACTTGATCTGTAACTCATCATAGTAGACTCACATACTAAAAATCAGCTCAATATGTGAAGGTGTTAAGAATAAAACATCCGTATAACTGTTATATTCACAAAATTTTCAAAGTCCAAAGCCCGTAATTTCAGCAAAAATCAGTGGAGTGGAACCAAACATAAACTTGATCTGTATCTCATCATACTAGACTCACATACTAAAAAGCAGCTCAATATGTGAAGGTGTTTAGAAAAAAACGTCTATAAGGGGATGACCATTTGATATTCTGGTGGGGGGCAGGAGGATTTGTTTTGGATTGGTTATTTATTTTTGTGAACTAGAAGAAGAGATTATCTATTTTCTGCACTGTTGAAGCATGATTTTTCATTTTCATTAAAACAAGGGACTGATTATTTATTTTCAAAATTATATTTATAATATTTGAAAACACAATTTTTCAATTATTTTTTTTTTTATTCCTAAATAGATAATACATGTATAGTCATTTCATTATGTACCATTAAATCAGAATTAATCCTCCTCCTCTGGAAGTGAATCTTCTGAATTCCAAACTGCATTTATTGCATACATACAAGGTATTAAAGTGGGGGTGTAACTAAGCCTCTTTATAAAGTAATGTCAAACATATCTGCCGAGCGGAGCGAGGCAAACAAAATTGGCAAAGGTTTTGGGAGCCGCTGAAGGCCCCAAGAAGATATAGAAAAATGATGCAAAATCTTGCTTTCTCTGCATTTCCCAGATCCTTTCGTAATCTGAAACGCAAGTTCTGTTAATTATTTTTTCAACAATATTTTGGTCTCACAGCAAAATATATACATTCAGTGTAAGACTTTTAGTTTTTTATTTGACAACATCAAAAGACCAATATGTAGGATAAAGCAAAAAGTGTAATTCACAAACTTAAGTATGAGGCTGCTTGTTTTTTTCTTCTTAGTGTTTTGGCTTGCAGATAATCTTTTTAATATACCTGTCAATTATGTGGTTTTTTTTTCTCAAATTAAGTTAAGAGGGGCTGATTATCATTGCTATAACAATGTCAAGTAAATTTTTATAACACATTTCTATTACAACTTGATGAACTTCCTAACTGAGATACAATTTGAAATACATGTAGTTTGTAAAATTAGATAAAAAGTCCTTAAATAAAATAAAACTCAAGTTTAAAAAAAATTACTAAATTACAAATGGAATGTAACACTAAGTGAATAAAGAAGGGCAATCAATGAACAAAAGACAAACCTTGGAAAAGATAAAACAACAAACAACATTATAGACAAATAACACTGAAAACTAAAATTAAATTAGAAATATGGATCCCGAAAAACGGGGGCTATGTCAGAGGGTAAACAGAACTTGCTTCTTGCAAGGCGTTCGAAGTAAAAACAAATTGATATGAAGACAAGCTTTTGTTTTTGAAATTTCCTACCTTAGGCATTTGCCTCAATTTAGTTACAGCCTTATTATGAAAGTGAGGTAGATGTTCCTAAGATAATATACATCTAGTTAAATGAAACCCATTTTCAGACATTTCAAGTACATTAATATTTATACAATGTATTATAAAAAAATTTGGTAAGTTCCCGAATAAAAATAGGAAAAAAGACGAATTTTGGAAGAATCTTGTGCCATTTCTTACTTTAGAATAACATTTATAAAATGGCTTAAAAGACATGCCGAGTATATTATTTTCAATACATTGTAGGTCAGGTTATTTATTTTCAAACTACCACAGAACAAACCATTCATTTTTGTTATTATCAAGGCTGAGTTATTTATTTTCAAAATCCTCCTGGCCCCCCCCCCCCCCCAGAATATCAAATGGTCGTCCCCTAACTGATATTTTCATGGTCAAAAGCCTGTAATTTCAACAAAAATCAGCAGAGCGGAACCAAATGTTAACTCAATCTGTAACTAAACAAAGTAGACTCACATGATGGAATGATAGATAAGGGTAACACTATATGGTCCCGACCTAAGTCGGCGGGCCATATAAAGTAGAAATTAGTTTCAATAAATGGGGAATGTGTCCATGGGACACAGATGATGCCCCCGCTTGCATATCATATAAAGTTATAAAGGGACATAACTGAAGAACAGTGAAAGTGACGCTACCCAAATTTTAACTTGATATGTATTTTGTGGTAATTAGCATTGTGTATAAGTTTCATAACATTTGGTTGAGGCAAACTAAAGTTAGAGAACGGAAACGGAAAAATTCAGAAATTTTTATGTTTATAAAGGGACATAACTGAAGAACAGTAAAAGTGACGCTACCCAAATTTTAACTTGATATGTATTTTGTGGTAATTAGCATTGTGTATAAGTTTCATAACATTTGGTTGAGGCAAACTAAAGTTAGAGAACGGAAGCGAAAAAATTCAGAAATTTTTATGTTTATAAAGGGACATAACTCAAGAAAGGTACAAGTGATGCCACCCAATTTCATACTTGATCTGTATTATGTGGTAATAAGCATTGTGTATAAGTTTCATAACATTTGGTTGAGGCAAACTAAAGTTAGAGAACAGAAACGAAAAATTCAGCAATTTTTCCATTTGCAAAGGGGCATAACTTTAGAACAGTTATAGTGACGCCACCAAAATTCAAACTCGATCTGTGTTTTGTGGTAATAAGCATTGTGTATATGTTTCATAACATTTGGTTGAGGCAAACTAAAGTCATGAAAGTTAGAAAACAGAAACGAAAAATTCAGCAATTTTTCCATTTGTAAAGGGGCATAACTTTAGAACGGTTATAGTGATGCCACCAAAATTCAAACTCTATCTGTGTTTTGTGGTAATAAGCATTGTGTATAAGTTTCATAACATTTGGTTTAGGCAAACTAAAGTAAGGGAACAAGAACCAACTTTGGGACGTACGGACTGACGTACAGCAAGACAAGGGTAAAACTTAATGCCCCCTCCGCTATGGCGGGGGCCTAAAAATATCAAACTCCATATTCTCATTTCTGTATTATTGCTTGAATTATTGTCAGAAATTATGTACATATGGCATTGCTTAATAATTTTTCTTTATTCCAACTACATCAAGGAACAAACATGATAAATGGTTAAACATGTCAATTTAAAGATAACTCCAACAGTGATCTTTGATTAAATTTTTGCTAGGGGAATAGTTAAGTGCTGAAATGTTTCATGACGGCTAATGTCAGATCAATACAGATGCAGATTAATAACAATAGTTGTTGTTTATGTGCATGATTAGCAATTCGTTATCTGATATTTTCTTCTGTTTAACCTTTTTAAGAGATTAAATTTTTTTTTCATGGCAAGGATATATTTGCCACTGGACATTAAGCAATCAACAATCAATCGATCATTGCAAAGAACAAGTTTATGTCTGCTAACATCTACGTATACCTGTTTCATGTCCAAAGACCAAAATTCTTCCAGGAGAATGTAAATTTCTGTAGATAAAATGACCATGGTTAGATTTTTCCTAAACATTTGGTAAAACACACATACAATGTATCTATAATACACGTACACGTAACTTTAGACTTTTGCGTTGGTTTGGAAATTGAATAAATATATATATATTAAAGAAAGTCAAATAACATGAATAAACTGTTATGCCACATGTTCTTATTTTTCATGTTTTTATAAGGGGACGAAGTCCCCTATAACAGTAGAAAAATAAAAAAAAATCAAAAAAAAAAAAAAAAAAATCGGGAAAATTTCCCGAAATTTTCATTGTACTAATGAACTCAAAATCGTTAACTTTTTTTTTGTAACTTTTTTTAATTCCCGCATTTGCCCAGAAATCTACTTCCTTCTTCCGGTCTCGTTTGTCATAAGACTGAGTGAAATATATATTTATCAGTCCAGTAAAATATAGGAAGGAAAACAATAACAATTTCATTTCTAATTATTCTTTGATATGAAAAAACGTTACCTGATGATAGCGTTTCTTTGTTTACATTGAATATGACGTCATAACTAAAATAACGTCACAACTAAAATCCCTAACAACAGAACCAAAATCGGAAACGTTACGGTATTTCCGTTTCTTTTTTAACAGATTTAGAACTTAAAATATGTTTGAATTAAAAAAAATTAATTTATATAGACTTCGTCCCCTTTCACAGGTAATGCCTGCCTCATATTATTTATTACAATATTGTACAATCATCATGATCATGACAATGTTCATGAAATTTATTCCAAAATTATTTTGTTGGTCATTCAACATTTTGTGCCAAGAACTGAATAACTAACATTAACTAACAGACATGTACTGATTTTGTGTCATGGATGGATACCCCATATCCTTTGTTTTTCTATTATATTAACAGA